AGCAATGACAAAAATTAGTTAGATATTTTATTTTTTTCTTTTTAAGGTAAACCTATTGCAACTTCTGTTCCTGTAATTCATTATCATGCTAGTGATGATGAATTAGAAGAAATATATCCTAGTACTGACGAAGAAAAACAATTAACACCGGAACATGAAAAAAGTTCGTCTAAAGTGATCTCTACCCCATCAAAGTGTGCTCATGAATCGGATATTTCTGAAAATAATTCAGAATCTCGGTCCATCAGTACGGAAAATATTTTACTAGAAGGTACACCACCGTCTCTTGATCCATGGAAAGTATTATCAGAAATTAAAGGAAAAATAACCAAGACGTTTGAGGAAAAATTATCTGAAATAAAAAGTGATAAAAAAAAACGACGTCATTCTAAGGGAGAAACTTCAAGTATTAGTGATTTAGAAGATCAGGGATGTATTACACCTTGTGATGAAAAAATAAATGACATTCATCGAAGAAGTAATCCAACTAAATATGTAGGTTTTTCTGGAATTAAGACTGGTTTGAAAGACAAGAGTTTACAGGATGAAAGTGTAGAAAGTGGTATTGAAGCTTCTGAATTTTCTCAAAATGTTAATGAAAATACTGTATTTTCTTCAAAGAGTGATTTATCGAATATAAAAACATCTAATATTGATAACTATACCACTTTTCCGCAACAGACGCAATATGCATCCACGGTAGCATTTTCAAAACGAGTAAATTTCAAAACTTTGTTTTCACAATTGATCAAACAATTGATTCGTCAAGCAACGTATAAATCTGTTGCAGTTTTTATTGCCATTTCTTGCATTTATTATATTATTCCGTTAGCAGAATATTTATTGGGATTTGTAATGGGTATCTTTATGACTATTATTTTTTATGACGTAGTAACAAAATTCAAGAAGATTTTAACCACTTTGCCGGATGAAACGTATCCTTCTAGTCTACCGATACCTGTTTTGGAAATCCCAGCTGTAGAAGAACATGCTGTGATTGAAAGATATCAAGGTTGGTTAAATGAATTGCCCTGTAATTATGAACCGAATAATTATCATGTGGCACGCACAAAATCGGTATTCTTTAGATTGGAGGGAAATATTTTGCGTATTATGGAAACTAGGATGAAAATACCAAAGAAAGCTGTCTGGGATGAACCTAAACATAAATTAAAATTTGTCAGAAAAAGAGTTTATAATTTAACTGGGGCAAAAATAGAACTTCTTCCCTATGGATTAGCTAGAAGAAGAAGATGGAGTAAAAAATATCCAATTTGTATTGTTCTTAAAAAGGAAGCTTTAATTTGTAATGTAACATTGAAGAATACAACTGATGATGAGTGTTCAATGAATAATTATCATGGTAAAATGAATCTAAAAAGAAAGATGAAATATAAATCGGATAAAAAATGGGATGGAGAAATACAGGACGCGGATGAAATTTTATTTGTTAATATGGAGAATGAAGAACCAATTATAAAACAAGATATTTGTGAGATTGAAGATGTAGAAAATACTGATGAAGATGACAATGATAGTAAAAATTACAATTATGACTTAACTAATGATTATATTGACAATGAATGCGTAAAATATGAAGAATATTTTATGGAGAGAAAAAAGAAAGAAGAATATATGGAAGAAAAGGAAAAACGAAAAAAGGGAAGATATTCTAAGGAGCAACAAAAAAGGGATGATAAAGAAAAACAAGATGTAAATAAAATTTATGTTTGTACAAATAGAAAAAAAAAGAAACGTAGAGAAACGCTAAATGAAATGAAAATTTGTAAAAGATCAACAATGAAAAGATGGAAAATGAGAGATGATTGGGAAGAAGGAAAGCAAAATAGAAGAAAAGAACAACAAAAGAATATACGGAAAAAGAAAAAAGAGGAGAATGAGATACAAGAAGGGGAAGAAGAAGAAGAGGAGGAGGAGGAGGAGGAAGAGGAGGAGGAAGACGAAGAGGAAGAAGAGGAAGAGGAGGAACAAGAAGAGGAACAAGAAGAGGAAGAGGAAGAGGAAGAAGAAGAAGAAGAGGAAATAATGAAAATAAACCTAGAAGAAAAAAAGGAAAATGAAAATGAAAGAGATAGAAAAGTGATTGAGATAGAGAATGGAAAAAGAGAAATAGAAGAGAAAAAAAAAGAGATACAAATGATAATTGATGATAATGATAATAAAAAGAATTATAATGGCTATGATCATAATGAATTGTACAGAGAAAGAAAAAGAAATGATAGAAAAAAGAAGAAAAAGGGAAAAGATGAAGGGGAGAAAAAAGATTATGAGGAACAGGAGGAAGAGAGAGAAATGGAAGAGGAAGAGGAATTTTACAACATTGATAAAAAAAAAAATGAAATAAAAGTATTTATTTTTGCTAGAACTGATCGTGAAAAAGAAGATTGGTATAGACGTTTAGTTTCTGCTGCATCGAGATATGTTAAAAAAAAGGATTCGTTATTATTTACTCTCGATACATTAAGTACTATACCTAGTGTTCATACAACACTACAAAAAATCGGTACTGCAGAATCAAAAAATTCTCTTTCAACTAACAATTCGCATGAAACTGTACCTGAGCTAAATTATAATGCTTATATGGCAAAATATTTGGATAGTAATTGTTCACCTATATCGGAAGATAAAATTTCTGTTGAAAACACGCTTTGGATTAATTGTTTAATAGCTCGTATACTTTTTGATATACGCAAGTGTCCTGAAACTATACATCTTATACAGGATAAAATACAACGCAAATTATCCAATATAAAACTACCATATTTTATGGAGTGCCTTTTAGTTTCAGAGATAACAATAGGACAAGGAGCTCCTATAATTCATAATATAACAAAACCAATGATTAACGAAAGAGGTCTCTGGCTTAATTTAGATATAACGTATAAAGGATCTTTGACCATGACTGTTGAAACAAAATTGAATTTAATGAAATTAACAAGAACTGGATCGGTTCCAGATGATACACGCATAATTATTTCAACAAAAGCAAACGAATTGGCAACTAAATCACCGATTTTTGATAGTGAACTAGAAGATACTCCGGAAACGTCTACAGAAGATGATTATGATACTTCCAAACCACAGTCGTATAATACAGTTAAAGAAACAACGTAAGCAACAATAGTAACATCTCATTTTGTTATTTCGTTCTTTAGTCATAATAATTCATTTTCCTCTTTTATTTATATATTTTTCTTAAAGGTCTTCACAATCTTCCGGGAAGAAGTTCCTCAATATGGTGGATAGAATAGCAGCGAATAAATATTTTCAACATGTAAGTATATAATAATTTTTTACAATTAATAGTAATACTTAAATTGATCTGTAAATATTAATATTTGTTTTTCATATTCTTCAATTTTTCTTAGGCAACCGAGTTATCCTACGTTCGAAGAGCTATGGAAGGTGTTTCGAATATGGAGATTCGTTTGATGGTTACTGTTTCAAGTATTGAAGGTTGTGTATCGATAAACATTCCACCGGCACCATCCGATCGTTTGTGGTATGGTTTTAAACCCGTACCGAAAGTTAATCTCACCGTAAAACCAGCTGTAGGAGAGAGAACAGTTAATATTGTTTATATAACAAAATGGATAGAAACAAAATTACTCAGGGAATTTGAAAAATTGGTTGTTTTACCAAATATGGATGATCTCATTTTACCATTGTGTCCTAATTATCCTTATACGACAATGCAGTAGTAACAAACGAAAAGTATTGACTGTTGTATCGTATTGAATGTAATCCGTCGATAAGTGATCTATTTGTATATCTTCATCAAATTTATAATTATAGATTTGATTAGTAAATGATAAATATATAATCGTGATGAAATTTCGCGCGTTTATGCTCCAAATGTATGATAGTAGATTGTGACCATAATATATCCTTATATGTACATTATAGCTTCAAAAAAAATTTTATGACAAAAAAGCCAGGATGAAATTGAAAAAAGTTCAAAAAATGCTTATATAAATTTCATATATATATATATATAATAATAACGAATGAAAATTTAAAAACAAATTAATATATAACTAAAGTTAAGCATCAGATATATTTGTCAATTTTTTAATCAATTCTTATTTATTAAATATTGTTTCTTACTGTCAATATCGTTTCATAATTTTTTAATTTAACAAATTTTTTTCAGTATGTCAATTATTGATAATTTTCTTGGGACCATGCATTATTTATTTATTGTTGCGATAATGTACAAAAATTTATATTATATTTTTATAAAAACAAAAAATTCATTGCATGGAAAAAAGCCATTAATCGTTATTTATATTTATCGTTATACATATTTATCAATATATTTGTAGTAGTATTAATAGTAGTAACAAAAATAGTACTAATATTAGTAGAAATAGTAATATTACTATTTCTAGCGCTATTATTACTACTACTACTATTATTATTAATAATAATAATTGTAATTATAATTTATTAATAACAAAAATGATTATTTTGAAGATATAATATTTAAAAATTGATATAATCCAGTATAAATATATCGTTACAGTGTCGTAAAATAAATAAATTGTGAATTTCACAAATAATACAATTCCAAAATATTAAACAATTTAAAGTGTATATTTTTCTATTTCAAATTTAGCATTATAATTGTCAATTTTGTATACACTTCAAATTATAATTTAATGATATTTTTTGTGTTTAAATAATATGATATGATTTTTAAAGAAATATTTTAAAGATGTATAATACGAATGAATTTACCTAAGTTAAAATTCTAATTTTATATACAATTAAAAGTCTAATATATATATAAAACAAATGTAAATTAGAATCGTATATTATATGCGTATATATAATCGTTTAACTTTCCAAATCGCTTATGACTAAATGAAGTATGCATTATATTAAATTTTTAATAAATTATTTAATTAATGATGACAATTGAATCTACTCAAAATTATAGATATAAAATTATGACAAGGATAGATGGAAATTATCAATTATGTTGCTAAAAAATTGTGTATTTTTTACAAAAAATTTCCACAAAACAATATCACAGTTTGGAGATCGATATTCATATCATTCAGAATAAGGAAATAAATTATTTACAAGTATTTCGTTAAATGAATATACTAACTTCGAAGAACACATGGTGCACTTTCTAATTCGCGGACTGTTTTAGCCCATGTTTCTATTCTCGGTGCACAAACCAAAACAAGATCACCGAGTCTTCGTTTAGCCATTATCACAAACTCGCCCTGACCATGGCGTGCGTCACAAGCAGCTGATACTCTTATATGAACATTTCTGTGATCATGGAAATCGGTGGCATCTGCATCGTTATTCTGTTACAAAGTAAATGATGAATTAATTCATAAACAAATATAAACAAATGAACCTATCTTTATTTAACTTTTTTGTATACGTTGAACTATATGTATACGTAAAAAATAAATTATAAAGGGAAATTTCGAATATAAAAAGATTATTTCAAATAATTATAATAAACTTCATTTTATCGTGTAATAATGTTTTAAAATTCATTCGCAATATTTAAATATTTATGTATTTGTTTGAACAAAAATTTTTCGAAAAGCTATATTTCATATAATATTTTCTTGATTTTCTATGAAACATTATTTAAACACGTTTAATGAAAAATATATAAAAATATATACATGTATAATCTTTAATTTTATAAAAGTATCATAATATGGAGTATATTATAATAATATAAATTATAATAATAAATATAATTACATTATTGTATATAGAATATAATTAGAATTGAATAAGCAATTAAAGAGCAAGGAAGAAAACCTTACCTCGTTTTCTTCAATTCGACGCAAAATTTTTGTTACTCTAAGAATAAGTTCAGCAGCTTCCAAATTTGGTTGTTTTTGAACGGCACTCACTGTACCTCTGGCTATGAAGTCGCTTTGACAATAAGCTTTAGCTAATTCATCCATAGAACATGGCCTACAATCTTCTTCCTCATCGTTAAATCGTCGTGATATTTCTTTTCGACTATCAATATATCGTAATTCCAAATCGTATTGTAGCCTCGCATCATGATATTCATTCGATTCTTCTGCTTCTATATAAAGTGCTGCAGGTTGTTTCTTCGCGTGAAAACATCTGTGCGAAGCTTTATGTTTGCCATCTCTTGGCGAATATACTGATCGAAGTTTTCCACCTGTTTCCAAATATACTCTTATCGGTCCTGAAACCTTGGTACAAGTACGAAAACCAAATAACTGAAAAGCACTATTGTTGTTAATCGGATTGGTATCATTTTTCATATTAATATCATTTTTTTTTCGAATGAATTCATAATGAATCTTCGATATCAATTCATTTAAAACAGGAGGCGAGAGAACTACGCGCAAAGCTCCTCGTGGATAACGCCATAATATTGTTCCTCTGGAACATCGTAGATATACTGGTCGAACACCGCGACCACCGCCACCACTGTAAAATAATGAAAGAAAAAAAATAGAAATAGAAAAAGAAAATATTTAAAAAAGTATATTAATTATTTAATGTCTTTTTATACGCTATATTTTAGAATATGTCGATCTTTGAGCTATTTCAATAAATTATTTCTCAAAATCTTGAATAGAAATTTATTAAATTTAATCCATTAAATTTTTCCAAAAATTTTTAATCCATTACGACTTTTTTTGTTTTTCATAATAATGATTATTATAATGATTTTCGATAATTATTGTTAATCATGTAATTATTTTTTTTTTTTTTACTCTATTTTTTCTTTCTTTCAACTCTTAT